TTTAAATCTACACTTTGACTTTTAATACTTAACTACAACAAATATCAAATACTTTAACACTTTTAATACTTAACTACAACAAATATCACATACTTTAACACTTTTACTCAAGTTATACTCCTAAAGGAGACCAAAGTAATTTTTTGGTAAGATACTTGTACTTTTACTTTATACAACACTGTATATAATACTTATTAAACTGAAAGTATCCTTTTAAACAAACAGCTAAAGAAAAAACTCTAAATATCAGCCTGTCCACAACTTAAAGGGCTGTTAATCTGTCCTGCAGGGTGTAAGTCCAAAATAAACTAAAGAGTTGAAGGGAACTGGTCATCACTAAATGGGATAATGTAGCTGAAAACCAGTTGACTCTCTTCTAACAACTTGATTCCAGTCTGAGCTCCAGCAGCACACAGTCAGGCTTCAGATGAAGGTCTTAGCACCTTATCAGAAAACCAAACTTTGTTTGTGAAAATAAAAAAAGATCCAGAAAACATGGTTTTACAAATCTCTTTCAGAACTTGAAACATTTAAATGTGTAAAAAAGACCCACACACTGTGTCACAATCTTGCTGTGGTTTTTGTTGTTGTTGCAGTTTAAACTTGTAGTTTTCAGGTTGGGGAGGTTTTCCTCTGCTGACAGCTGCTGTTTGGTCTGATGCTGAGCTGCAGCTTTGTGTGTCTGTTGTCACACAGTCAAGGCTCAGGCCTCTGTGTTGTCTGGATCCAAGTTTTTCCTACAAGTTTTTTTTACTCAGACTTCCTTAACTTGTCTGCAGGTTCCTCACCTGAAACCTAAACCTAAGTCCAGTTCCTCCTGGAGTCATCTCAGCTCCTGGATGAACTCCAAAGAAATCAAATTTTATCCCACGCTTACCTCCAGAGACTATCACTGTCTCTTCCTGTACCTTTCAAAATAAAACCTTTGTAATACTTCCCTGTTTCCAGTTTAAATCTTTTCAGTCTCATTAGTGTGAATTTCTTTTTCTCCTAATTCATATTATTCTGTCTTCTTCTGTTATCAGATGTAAGTTGGTAAACTGAAAGCCCATCCGTCCCACGCTGCTCACTTTGTGTTTGAGGGTTTAGTCTTTAGATTGGACCAGCCTTTGTCAGGGCCCAGTTATTGTTTGGTCTTTAGTTTGGACCAGTCCCTGTCAGAGCCCAGTTATTGTTTGGTCTTTAGGTTGGACCAGTCCCTGTCAGGGCCCAGTTATTGTTTGGTCTTTAGGTTGGACCAGTCCCTGTCAGGGCCCAGTTATTGTTTGGTCTTTAGGTACCTGAGTTCCTCAGATACTTCAGCAACATGTGAAAAAGTTGTTGGGATTGTTTTTCTCCTTGTTCTGTTCTGTGATGTTTTTAAACTTGTAAGAATGATAACAGAAACATTTCAAATGTAAAATATGAAGTCAAACTTTGACACGGTTCATTTGAACTGGACCCAACGGTCCAGATTAAAACAGTGAACTTCAGTAGCTGTCAGAAAGTGTTGAACAGTTCTGAAATATTAAACCTGGACCCAAACTCAATAAAAACAAATATAAACCTTTTGAACTAAAGGACACATGAAGCATGAATAATAAAAAAAACTGTGCAGATTTCTTTCAACATGGTTTTCATTTATGTCTCAAAGTACTGAGTATTTTTACAACAGGTGTACAGTTGTGACACTCGTTTTATCCTAATTAAAATTTGATCACAAACTAGTGTTGTCCCGATACCAGCAGTTTTACAAGTACTTGTACTCCCACAAAATACCCTAATACTCTGGACTTATTGTATCTTAGTATCAGTGTCGATACTGATACTGGTAACTGAATGTGTTACAGTTTACATTTCAAGTGAAAGGTTTGTCAGTTCCATGTCAAAAACATTAACATAAGTTAAAATAAAATCTTATTTGTTATTTTTATTTATTTTGAAATATTGCAACATCATATATCATGCTGCAAATTAGATTTAATACAGTCAGAGGGGCTGTGGGCTTATATAGGAGAGCCCCCTTGTTCTAAATAAAATTAATGTAAATTAAAGTCTTTGTGTAATGTTTAAGTTAGAACTCAGTAAGTACTCAGTATTGGTACCCTGCATCAGCGAGTACCCAAACTGAAGTACTTGTACTCGGTTTGAGGAAAACGGATACTGGGACTCCCCTGATACAAGGTAATTTTTTACACATTTTAGGATAGCTTGATTTACTATGATGTACTCCTTAATGAAGATAAGCAAAGACACTCTATTGCTTGTACCAACAAACTTTTATTTTATTTTACTTTATTTTGTTTTGTTTTTTGTTTGTTTTATTTGTTTTGTTGTTTTGTTTTGTTTTGTTTTGTTTGTTTTGTTTTGTTATTTTCGTTGTTGTTTTATTTTGTCTGTTTTATTTGTTTTATTTTATTTTATTTTGTTTTGTTTTTTGTTTTATTTTGTTTGTTTTATTTGTTTTGTTTGTTTAGTTGAGTTTTTTGTTGTTTTATTTTGTTTTGTTTGTTTTATTTGTTTTGTTTTAGTTGGTTTTTTGTTTGTTTGTTTTATTTGTTTTGTTTTGTTTTATTTGTTTTATTTGTTTTGTTTTATTTGGTTTTTTTGTTTGTTTTATTTGTTTTGTTTTGTTTTATTGTTTTGTAGAACAAGCATTGGCTCCTGTCCTACCTCCTCCACCACAGCAGGTGGCGCTGTGGCCACACAGGCAGCACAGACAACGTCATCAGTAAGCGACAGCTGTAGCTTCACCATGGCTGAATCGGAGTATGTATTTTTCCAAACATATCTGAGTCCATCCGCTCATTTTATGACAGATATTTTTACACATTTGATCTCAGACATTAAGGAGACATTTTATCCGACAGGATCAGATTTATATTTGTTGAGTTTATGGATGAAAACAGCCGATAGAGAGTTTGATTTTCACATGGAGCTGAGTCCCAGAGTTACAGCTGATGTGATGTGTGATAAATATCTTGCTGTAATATTAGGGGAAACTGTGTGTTTTTACAGTCTGTGGTTACTTATTGTGTTGCTTTGCGGCAGCAGTTAGTCTTAATGCGGTTTCAAACAAATGAAGACGAACTGGTGACAGGTCCAGTAACAGATCTCAGGAGCATTAGGTAAAATAAATGGTTTAAATCCCTCCTGTCTGATTTTATGTCTCTTAGGTCGAAAAAGGTGAAGTTAGTTCCAGAGTACCTGCTGAAAAAGAGGAAAGCCTATCAGGCCATCAAAGCGACTCAGGCTAAGATCGCTCTGCGTGAGAAGAGACAGGTGAGAAATAAACAGGTTTTACTGCAAGAAGGTTTTTTTTATGTAAAATGACATCATCTGAAGTAATAAAATATGTAACAAGCTTTTACCCATGATGCAATACCTGTTATGTTTATTTGCAGTTACTGAGTGGTGCTGCTGTATTTTTTTACTTTCTTTGAATTCCTACAGGTGTCCAAAGGTAGACCGTTACGGTTCAAGCGCCTGGAGGACTTCCTGAAAGAAAGCCACAAGAAGCACCGGGACGAGACCCGGCTCCGGAGGGCCGAGCACCGGCCGGCTGCTCCTCTGCCTCCGGAGAAGAACAAGCTGGCCTTTGTCGTTCTCATCAGACTGTAAGTGTTTCTGTGTGACGTGGAAGGACGTGTTTATCTTTAATTATCTAATCTGAGTGGATTTTAATAAGAACACTTAATAATAAGAACACTGGTTATCTCAGGGATTAAAGAAGTTATGGACGTGTTTAATCAAGCTCATGATTTCTGCTGAAGTCCACAGCTGGTCCAATCTAGTCTCAGTGCTGTTTTATCATCACATCCTTAATGTTCTTTCATTGTCTGATGCCTTGACTTTTCAGAATTATGTTTTGTATAGTGGTATTAATTTATATTTTCAGATCTTCCGAGGTGCCAATTATGGAACTCTCTGTGCATTGTTGCCCAAATCAAATTCTGGAAGTGGTCATTCAACTAGATCTGTTACAAAAGGACAACTGATATTACCAACTTTTAAAAACGTAATGTTATGCATATAACTACTGTTCCCTGAAGGAAAGGAACGAGGTACAACATCATGTATGGGAAC